TTACCTTCATAGCAGAGCACTCCTTTTTTCCCTTGAGGTGCTTCATGGGTATTTTCTTGTTGGCACCTGATACCTCAGGCGCCTCCAGCTCCCCTCGGCAAGACTTCCACATTGCTGCAGTAAAAGTCAGTTCAAATTAATATAAAACTAAAGAAACAACACATAAGGAGCACCAGAGGCTCCTCTTAAAGACTTTTAAACAAGGCTTTAATCAACCAGTTAGTTTATTTTTTTAAAAAAGCTTGTTAATTGAGCCATAGCTACTAAATGGTTGCAGTTTTCCCTGTTCAGTCCCAGAGGCAGATGATGTGGTCACTTAACGGCGTAAAGACAGACTGAACTAACAATGTATTAATATAAGGAAAAACACACCGGAAACGGCGTCTTCAGGAAACACAAAATGTTTCGCAGGGTTCACACAGACAGCAACAGCCTCAAACTAACTGAGGGAGCTGTGCCCCGATCCGGCCCCGACCCTCGGTGCCACACGCAGCTCCGCTTGCACGCAAGTGTCACCTTTGCTTCCCTTTCATTTTTACGTGGCCTAACAAGCTTCATTTACTCTTTCCATTTATTTGTGCACACAATTAAAAAGCAGTTTGAGGCCGCGGCCTCAGAGCTAAGTTGTTGCCAGTTTTTTTTTTCACTCGACTCCCCAGACCTAAGCAAGCCGGGAAGTGCTTCCAACCAGAAGAACGAGGCTGCAGCGAACAGCAGCAGTTCCTGGATACACCCTGAGGGAGCAGGGCCCGATACGCTGGTTTTCTGCCAGAGTGGCCTTCCAGATTGCAAACCCCCCCCCCTGCCACAACAGATTACGATGGCCTCAGACACATCCAAGCACGCCGCTGGTCCCCACTCGGATCGCGCTCACATGAACAGCCGGGAGCCACGCGGTGCTGTACTGAAGCAGCAAGGGGAGCTTTGCATCCTGCTCCACGGGGCAACCGACGTGTCCGCAGCTGCCGAAGCTTCTCCTTCAGCGACCGGCGAGCAGGGGGAGCTCACGGAAGGGTGCTCTGACCTGAAATCGCACTGCTCGGTTATGGTATATCTTCTAAATTTAATTTGAGGTGTATTTGGAGAGGATGAATACTTATCTAGAATAGTATATTTGAACCACACATTTGCATGCAAACTACAAATGCTTAGATATTTATCAAATTACACAGATTTCTCAATTAGAAGACATGATAATTGAAAAAGATTTCTCTCCATTGAGTCATTGATGCCATGAGCGTCAAGGACTTCAAAATTGCTGCCGGTTCGACAGCCCCGACCCAAACCTCAGCAGAGCAGGGGCTGTCGATCTGTTCTCCAACGACAAAGCCACCGAGCAGCGTAGCGCAAGGGTGCAGACCGACCGACAGCGTGTAATCGGCTGCGTGTTTGGAGAGCGCTCTTTACCTCAAAGCAGAAGTCTTTTCCAAGGATACTGCTGTGAAGTGGTTTGACAAAGACTTTTTCTTCTGACCCAAAATCCAGGGACTCCACGGCGCTGCCTGGGCTCAGTAATGACTCATGGGAACGGGACTCCTTCAGCTTTGGCAATCCGCGGGACCTGTAGGAGAACACCGCGGAGAGGAAACATTATTTCTCTCATAATTACCGAAAGAGTTGGTGAGATCCCTGAGAAAGCTGCAGCTTGGTGTTTATTCAGAACAACTTCTACAATTAGTCTGTAAACCTTGTGAAAATAACATTAGGCCAGTAGTCCCAGCCTCCGAAGGAAACACTCACCTACACCAGCCCAGCAAGTCCATTCCCACTGACCTACAAATTGTAGGTGTCGGTGCTGAGCCACCAGTGACAGAACAGTGGAACAAAAAGAATTTAACTGCTGAAATTTAAAGAAACCCCACAGGTAGGTTTGGATACGATACTGGAAGTGTCTACTGCTATCTTACTAGCTAAATGTTGCATCTTAACAGCAAAAAGCACACCAAACTCTACGTCCCTAAACCAAGGCAGAATGCTAGCTACTTGCCTTAGAGCAGATGATCACCTTGTGATACACTCAATTTTTCTTAACAGACAAAGCCTTTACACTAAAGTCAAATAGGCAAATTATTTCCCACTTCACAATGCTCCAGTCAGTTGCCTACATTTAAATTCTGCATTTTCTTCTTCAGCTGCTTCTTCAGTTTTAACAGTTTCCAATTTTCTTTTGATATCTCCACTCTCTTTTAAGCTACCCTCACTGACACATACCACGTCTCTTTTCCAGCTGACTGTCCTGTAAATCCCTGAGCTCTACCAGAGCTGGCTTCTCCCAAATTCACAGTACCTTTCGATCAGGGCAGTCTTCTCTTTGTCCCCACCAGTTCTTGAATGCTTCTCAAGCACATACCCCTCCACTACACGGTAGCTTTTTGCAGCCAACAGCAATGATATAAAATGTGCTCTAATGCTTTCTCTGTTCTCCCAGTTTGACTGAAAGCAACATTTGGGGGCAGCAGGGAGTTCTGTCAAACAGCAATGTAAAACTTGCTCAATTTATAGGTGCCAGTGGCTTCACCTGTGCTCCTCCTAGCTCCGAGCTGACTGGACTGTAAGCTTCTCCAAGAAAGTCATATGCTACTGCAAGCACAACCAGCATTTCTGCTTCAAAAGATCAACATGATGTGCACACACATCTTATTTATCCTCTAGCTGGAACTCAGTCCAAGCCTTCACAGATGACCAACAAGGAGGAAAAGCACCGAGTCCCAGCTCAGCAGAAGAGGAGCTGTTTACCTGGCAGGTCCAGACTTTGTTAAGCTATGGAAGCTCGTGCTGGCCCTTGTGCCTGTCCACAAACACGGCTGCACAGCCAGCAAATGTGACAGAGCACACAGAACAGATGTGAAAGTAGAAAGGCATCAGTCGTCATACACTACGCGGAGAAAAGCAATACTCTGAAACGCTGCTCTCACCTGTTTGTCCTCTTTTATTCAATTCCCAGTATTGAGGCTCAGTATCAAATGGAAAATGTTTAAAAAATATATTTATGGAAGAGCGAAAAGCACTACTATCTCTAATAGCTTCCTTAATTTTGAAGAATAAGTAGTTTTCACATACTTCCTTCACATATCTTGTACAAAAAATTCCTCACATTTTGTAACCTTAGGAAAATCAATTTCCTCCTACCCTGGAGCAATCCTATGGCGAAACAGAAAGAAAGAAAGAAAAAAATGTTTGGAAAAGGCATCTTCTGTACTTCTAAGGCTGCTTAACAAAAACTCGGGCATCACGGAGGGTACACGTAAAGCAACAAGCAGAGCTCATCTGACTGTGCTTTTGTACGAAACGAAATGCTGAAGGTATTCCTGTAGATTTATGCACGATAAGATTTATTAAACAGGAAGGGAGAACTTTGTTCCCATTTAATGCATTGGATGAGCTAAGCGCAGGCAGCGACAGCCTTTCATCAGAGGGATGTTACAAAGCTGCTGGTTTCCAGTGCAGACCAGCAGCACTGGCACAACCGCACTGGCTGCACTGTGCATGCTTTGTCGTAACAGGTTCCAGCAGCAGCTGTACCAACGCGAACAGAAAACCTCAGCTGGGTATAATTGAACCCTCGCTGCAGTGAAGGTAGGACAAGTCTAAAATACACACACCACACTACACTGCTTTAATACCATCTCCGCAAAACCCTCTCTAATTTCTCCTCTCCAGAAAGAGCTGCTGAGGTCACTTGGCTTCTGTCCCTGTCCCAAACTCTCAGCGGTTCCAGCCCTAACAAAGTACTTTGGTGCATGATGCAGGGGAGCTGGCTGAGAGCCTGCAGCCAGCTCCCGCCTCAGCTCCTTGTCAGGAGGAAAGCATGGAGTGGTCACAAAGAGGGGAGAACAGGAGGGAGAGAGAAATAATTACCAAACACAGGAGAAAGAAGAAAAGATTTTGCAAATCTGAGTTAAGCGAAGGCTGCACGTGGAGTAAGACAAATCGAGCACACCTACATGAAACAATTGTACAGCCACTTAGCAGTGCATCCCCAGATCATAGCGGTGCCACATGTCCCAGCCCTTGCTTTCAAACTTCGTCCTCTGGGCTACATCTCAGGCAGCAAATCCCGCTGGGAGAGGAAGCAAGGCATGGAGATCCAGGAGGAGTTCTTCCTCCAGCCTTAGGTTACAAATTTCAGACGAGCATCGTGCCAGGCAGATAGGCTGGGGCAAGAAGAGAAGTCAGAGCTGCAGTGGTGAGGAGATCTGTCTCCTTGCCAGCTGTGCTCCCAGCCGGCCCCGCGGGTGACGCGAGGAGGCTCCCGGGTGCGGGTTGCCATAGAGCGGCCTCCTGTAAGGGGATTAGGGGGGGCTGCGAGATGCAGCAGGTGTGGGGAGGCTGCTCCGCAGAGGTGGCAAAGGTGACCTTTCCAGAAGGAAAGAAGTCCCTCCTCTCCCCTCCATACGACAAGTTTAACAAGACCCCGGGCAGCTAAAGACAGTGGGAGAGAGTGAAGCATCTTCCACGAACGCCTCCAAACAGCCCTTCGGGACAGGGTGAGGGCAAAGGCAGGCACACACAGCAGTTGTACTCCATGCCTCTGTGTCCCATCGTGCAAGTTACATCCTTTAGTAGCATCTATTCTGCTTCGTTGCTCTTCTAACTAGTTAGCTTTGAACATCTGGTTTTGTTGCAGATCAGCTGGAGCACAGTTAGTTTTGTTGACGCAGGGTCCTGGGGCAGAGGAACATCTATCTGTTTGAGCAGTCCCTTGAAGTTACCATATTTAAAACAGCTCAATAAACTGATTAAGTGGCTTGGAATTGGCATTTATCTTCCATAAACACGTCGTAAAGTCATTGGTTAGATGCAACCACATGCATTTACAAACACAAGCACATACATTTGTAAGCACCATGGTACGTATTTCATCTATTGGTAGACTTGCAAAGCAAATCATCAACTTGCACCTAAATCAGCAGCATCTCAATCGATATAGGCAATAATTATCCAGAAATAACAGTTCTCTGCTGTTTTAAAGCCTCATTTGATATTCTGAAGCTGTAAGTAACAGTGAAGGAAAATTGCTCGCTGGCTTCCCTCTCACACAGAGGCACTGTTAATAAACCAATGCCACTAACTAACTTCCCAGTGTCTCCAGCAAAGGGGCTGGATTAATAGGGCCTTTCCTGTGTGAGGTAGAGAGCTACTGGTAAAACGAGGGTTGTTAGAGTCCCTGCTAAGAGAGAGGTAATCCCAGAGAAGCAGATTACTGTAAACAGGCAGATCGAACACGCAGAGGGTGGGGGAAGGGTTGTTTGCACAAATCTGTTTCTGTTAAACAGCTCCATTAACAACACAAATCCTGTTTTAAATCACAGCTAACCTCCGATGATCAACCTTTTTCCTGCTGCTTTTTCTGTCTCCTACTGCACACCGCCGACAGACTGCACAGGAACCACACAGGAGTTCAGAGCACACAGTTACTGGCCGCACCAAACAACTCTTACACAGGTACTCTCCATAATTTCTTTCCAACAGGAAAAGCAGGTGGAGCAGGAGCATGTCAGGGAACACTTTAAATTTCTCACCTCTTTTCACTTGCTTTAGCGCACTGGTCTTCAGAGTTGCATTATTTCCTCCTAAATCCGAGCCCAGCCAATGCCCCAAACCACTGACCTGGCAGCAGCGTGCGACTGCTACTGAAAAAGATCTCTTCAACACCACCATCTTGCTGGCCCAACCCCAAGCTGACCCTCTCTCCTTGCACACCATAATTCCATAATTTTCCGCTACAGGAAGGAACTCGGTTGTAAGCCGGGAACTAGAAACCTCCGGCTTTCGGTAGCCGCGCGTGGCACCCAGCAGCCTATTAAGCCAACTCCTATTATATTCTACAGTCTATAAGGCATGTAGGGTAAAGGGTTAAAATCCTAACTGCTTTGGTTATGAAGCTCCCCTGCTGATTTTGACCTATTTAAAAGCCAACCTACCAAGCACAAAAGACTTTCAATTACTGAGCTTACCAGGGAGAGCACTATATTGCTTGGAAAACAAGCTTGTGGACATCAATAATCCAAAAGATAAAAAAGAAATGTATAGAAACCAACTACCAAGGAACAGAATCCCATCATCTGTTTTCTTGACCAACAAACTGGTGCGAGGGCAAAGAATTCTGAAAAGAGTTTTTTGTTCAGCCCAAGCACCCGGCTAAAACCACGTCTCCGCCGGTCTTACGAGAAACTGTCCGTCTGCATGCTTCAAATAATTCCAGCACAATACCAGTGTGTGTGGAGACACTCCCCGAGATCTGAAAGTTAAATTCAATACTTAGCCACTCGCAAAGTCACAGGAGAGAGAGCCTGGGCTGTAACGCAGTGAACTTTCCGCTCAGCGCTGCTGTTCTTTCCCTGTGAACCTGGACCCGAGCGTCAGCAACACCGTCCGCAACGCAGGTGCGCCCCCCAGCACGGCAGCAGCAGGTTTCCCGGGGCAAGCGTTCATTTTGTAGGCACCACACCCTGCTTTGTTTTCCAACTGCCAATTAGCAGAACATTCTATTACTTGGTCAACGATTCTACAAGCCTAACCAGTTCCATTATTAGTATTTTTTTTTAAATCAGGGTAACTTACTTAGACTCAAGTTCCCCTCAGCTGCGATTAAACGCTGGCTTTTTCTGAGTGTATTGCTTTAGCCTTCCATCGAGATTCTGGTCTTTTCTGGCAAGGCCCTACCCAAAGCCTCATTGTTTGAATCCCGGATTTGCAAAGCCCTCCCCTGTCTGCCCGCTTTCCCTCCAG